TTTTTCCATTGTATAATTTTAACTTCTTTGTCAACAAATTAGATGTTCATAGGTGTGTGGATTAATATCTGGGTCTTTGATTCAATTCCTTTGGTCAACCTGTCTGTTTTTATGCCATTACCAAGCTGTTTTCTTTACTGTAGCTCTAATAGAGCTTGATGTCAAGGATGGTGATGCCTTCAAAAATTCCTTTATTTTATAGGATTGTTTTGGCTATTCTTACTTTTTGTTTTTCCATATGAAGTGGATCAGTGTTCTTTCAATGTCTGTGAAGAATTGTGTTGGTCTTTTCATGGGTATTGCTTCGAATCTAAAGGTAGCTCTTGGTAGGATGGCCATTTTATTATGTCAGTACTACCTATAGAAGAGTATGGGAGATCTTTCCATTTTCTGGTATCTTCTGCAATTTTTTCTTCAAGGACCTAAAGTTCTTTTTCACTCTCTTGATTAGTGTTACCACAATGTATTTCATGTTATTTGTGGCTAATGTGAAGGTTGATGTTCCTCTCATTTCTTTCTCAGCTTCTTTATCATTTGTATATAGTAGGGTTAGTGATTTCTTAGTTGATTTTGGATTTATCAGCTTTAGGAGTCCCCTAGTAGAGCCTTTTGGTTCACTTATGTATGCCATCATATCATATGCGACTAGTGACAATTTGACTTCTTTCCAATTTTAATCCCCTTGAACTCCCTTTGGTGTCTTGCTGCTCTAGCCAGGACTTGGAGAATTATGCTGAATAGATATGGAGAGAGTGGACAGCCTTGTCTTGTTCCTGCTTTTAGTGGAATCACTTTGAGTTTCTCTCCGTTTAATTTCATGTTGTTTGTTGACTTGCTGTAAATTGCTTTTATTATGCTTAGATATGTTCCTTGTGTCCCCAGTCTCTCCAAGAACTTCATCATGAAAGGGTATTGGAGTTTGTTGAATGCTTTTTCAGTATCTAATGAAATGATCACATTGTTTTTAATCTTTCAGCTTATTTATATGGTGGATTACTTTAATGCATTTTTGTATGTTGAACCATTCCTGCATCTCTGGGGTGAAGAAGACTTGATTATATTTAATGATTTGTGAAGTGTTCTTGGATTCAGTTTGACAGTATTTTATTGAGCATTTTGCCCCTATGTTAAAGAGTGAGATTGGTCCTTAATTTTCTTTCTTGGTTGAGTCTTTGTGTGGCTTTGTTATCAGGATAACTCTAGCCTTATAAAAAGTTTGGCAATGTTCCTTCTGTTTCTATTATGAGGAACACTTTGAGGAATATAGGTATTAGCTCTTTGTGACATTCTGGTAGAATTCTGCACTGAAACCATTTGGATTCGGACTTTTTTTGGTTGTTGACTGATTTCTATTTCCTTGCTGTTTATAAGTCTATTTAAATTGAACACCTGGTCATGATTTAATTTTGGTATGTGGTACCTATCCAGAAAATTATCCATTTCTTTACATTTTCGAGTTTTTTGGAGTACAGGTTTTTGAAGTATGACCTAATGATTTCCTCAATGTCTGCTATGTTCCCTTTTGCATTTCTGATTTTTTTTTAATGTGGATGTTCTCTCTCTGCCTTTTGATTAATTTAGATAAAGGTTTATCTATTTTATTGATTTATTTCAAAGACTTATCTCTTTGTTTCATTGATTGTTTGTATTGTTTATATTTTATTGATTTGAGAGCTCAATTTGATTATTTCCTTTCATCCACTCCTTCTGGGTGAGTCTGTTTCTTTTTGGTCTAGAGCTCTCAGGTGTTTTGTTGAGTCACTAGTGTGAGATTTCTCCACTTTTTTTATGTAGGCACTTTGTGCTATGAACTTTTCCTCTAGCACTGCTTTCATAGTGTCCTATACGTTTGGGTGTGTTGTGCATTATTTTTCTTTGAATTTTAGAAAATCTTCATTTCTTTCTTTGTTTCTTCCTTGACCAAGAGGTGATTCAATAGAGTACTAATCAATCTCTATGAGCTTGTAGGCTTTCTGCAATTAGTGTTGTTGTTAAATTCTAACTTTAAACCATAGTTAGTGATCCTATAAGATACAAGGATTACTCCAATTTTTTTGTATCTGTTAAGGTGTGCTTTGTTACCAAGTATGTGGCCAATTCTAGAGAAGGTTTCATGAGGTGCTGAGAAGGAGATATAGTCTTTTGTGTTTAGGTGGAATATTTTTTGTCAGTTTATTCCTTTTTATTTTTATATTTTTATTGAGCTCTACGTTTTTCTCTGCTCTCCTCCCTGCTTCTCCCTTCCCCTTCCACCCTCTTCCAAGGTCCCCATGTTCCCAATTTACTCAGGAGATCTTGTAATTTTTTACTTTCCATGTAGATTAGATCCATGTATGTCTCTCTTAGAATCCTTATTGTTATCTAGGTTCTCTGGGATTGTTATATGTAGGTTGGTTTTCTTTGCTTTATGTTTAAAAACCACTTATGAGTGAGTACATATGATAATTGTCTTTCTGTGTCTGGGTTACTCAAAATGATGTGTCCTAACTCCATCCATTTGCCTGGAATTTCAAGATTTTTTTTTCCTGTGTAGTACTCTGTTGTGTAAATGTACCACAATTTTTTTTATCCATTCTTGGTCGAGGGGCTTGAGGGGCATTTAGCTTGCTTCTTCTAGGTTAGGATGATCAAGTCTTCCTGTTGTATGATGACTGGGTTCTGGTGTTACCATGTTGCTTTTGAAGTTGATGATTAATTTCTTGCATTGGCACCAACCCATCTCTTCCTCCATTTGATGCCACTAGTGTCTCTGCCTCTTTGGTCAATCCTTGCCCTGACTGTGTGTTTGTAAACTGTTCGTGGTCTGTTGAATACAGTCACTGTCTCAGGGGGTCACTGAGGTCCCTCTTGGCCTTCTATCTTGGCCTGCTCTTTTGGTTGGCTCTATTGTTCCCCTCTCTGAGTCACAGCGTGTGCTTCAGAGTTCCCCTCCTGGTCCTCTCTCTTGTCCCTCTTCACGTAGTTGCAGCTTGGGTTTCAGACTTTTTCTGAAGCTGCAGGGGTGGAGGAGGGATTGGAGGGTTTAAGGGCCGAGTGGGACTTGTAACTTGCAGAGTCCAATGGATGGGATGGGGGAGTTGGAGCAGCCTACCAGCAGGAAACTCACCTGCAGGCTGGCTAGAGAAGCTGAAGAAGCTGGGGGGGGAGGGTCCGGGGGTTTTGCCCCTAGTATGGAGGGCCTAGAGAGTGGTATGTCCCACCTTGTGGGTTGCCACCTACTTCTTGGTCCTCTGTGTAGTAGCAGGCTGTGGTTTTCCTACTTTGTTATTTTCAATCTATTTTTTTTCTTTCATCAACTACATACCCATTTTCTTTTTATTCATAAGCCTATTCACATTTGAAAACACAATGTAAACGGTTTACAGGTATTTTTTTTCCTCTGAGCTTCTTTTACTGCCTATCATTAAGCCTTTTTTTTTTTTTGACCATGTGAGGAAACTTAAACTCCTAAGCTACACCTGAATCCTCTGCCCCCAGTTTTGATTGGTGGCTGCCTCTGCTATTCAGGTTGTGAAAGCCAAGCCTAAACCTCATGGTCTAGTCAGAAGTGCATGACCAAAATCTGCTTTCAAACTTCAACCTTCCTAGTTGGAGAATGTGGATATTTTTTTGGTTTTTCAAGGCAGGGTTTCTCTTTAGCTTTGAGCCTGTATTGGAATGAGGTCTTGTAGACCAGGCTAGTCTCAAAGTCACAGAGATGCCCACCTCTGCCTCCCGAGTCCTGGGATTAAAGGCTTGTGCCACCACAGCCTGGCAAGAATGTGGATACTTATGCTGCCATGGGTGATTTATTTTATTTTGTTTTGATTTTTAAACATTCTTTTTTTTTTAATTTTACCTTTCAATCTCCTTCCCTTCCCTTCTTTCCTTTCACTCCCCACCCCTGTCTAATCCTCACAGAGTATGAGGCCTCCCATGGAGAATCAACAGTCTGTCACATCACATGACCAACCTCCTCCACCCAACTAGGTAGATCAAGGTATTCTTCCACAAGGAATGGGCTCTAAAAAGTCAGTTCATGCACTATGAATAAATCTGGTTTCAGTGCCAATGGCCCCACAAACCGTCCTAGCCACACAAGCTAAGCACTTGGATAAACTAATATCAGTCCTGGGCTGAGCTGCTAAGCACTGGGCAGAGCTCCTGGAATTCAATCGAGGAAACGCAGGAGCGATAATATAGCAAAGTGATCAAGACCGTAATGGGGCAACCCATAGAAGCAGCTGACCTAACCCAGGGGGAGCTCAGTGACTCTGAACTGCATGCACATAACTTTCTTCCTCCATGTTGTACATGTTTTGAATTCATCAATGAAAGTAAGTATTTTACCTGTATCTATGGGTATGTACTGTGTGTGTACCTGGCCCTGACAGTGATCAAGATGGTAGTTCAACTCTGAACTTGAGATAATGGATAGTTGTGATCCTCCAAATAAGTACTGTCCATTGAGACCACCTCAAGGTCAGCAAGAGCTCCCTACTACTGAGCCATTTCTTCTTCCCTATTTGATCATTTATGATCAACATTTAAATTACTCATGTTTTCACCTGTCCATTTGTAACTATTTAAACTCACTGTACCATTTAGTATATTCTTATTAATATTATACTTTAAATTGGGGCATGTCAGGTTTCTGGAAGATAAATACAGAACTTTTTGTAGAAACATCAGTAAAAACCTCTGAGTTCTTTATATCTCTTTTGTTTTTTTTGACTGATTTTTGTAGGGGAGACAGGGTCTTAATATGTACTTTGGCTGTCCATGAACTGACTGCGTAACCTAGGCTGGAATTTAACTGTGAGGCAGATATACTGAAAGACCAGGATAAATCCAGGAAGAGTAGAGCCAAAAATCTAGGTTAGCTGGTTCCATGTCCCTGTTCCAGGAACTGGCTGACCACAAAGTTAGATTATAATCTTGAGAACAATCTTGAGAAACAGGGAATTACCTCCTTGTGATTATCACTGGTATTTTCAGAATTTTCCAATGACGCCCTCCCTCCCCACTTTGGGTTGCTATTTCTTCCCTTAAATACTCCTTCTCCCAGCTATCCTCTACCCCTGCATGGGATATGCATCTCGGCCCCAGCATGCTGGCTCCTGTCAATAAACCTCGTGTGATTACAGCAAGGACAGTCTCTCATGAGTTTTCAGTGGGTCATGTTATCCTGAGACTTGGGTGAGAGTCTCCCAACTCCGGGGGTCTTTCAATACATGCCTCTAACTTCTGAGTGCAGGGTTTAAATGTGTGAGCCTCTACCACAGCTTGTCCATTTTACTTTTCTTTTCTAATTTGTAATTGTTTACACAATTTCTCTCATGTTTACTGTTGATTTGTTTACTTTTCTCTCTATGTTTTTAATAGGGATTTCTCTTGCACTGTGATATCCCATTCACACCTCCCAAAAATATTTTGTGATTATGTTATAATGTCTGTGTCATGGAATATGTGTGAGGACCACCAGAGACTTATGACTATACAGTCAGAGAAGTCTATGTTTACCATGTTGTCAATATCATGATCTCTGTTGTACACATATTTGGGACATTTCAGAATGCAGTGACCTATGATGATGTACATGTTGACTTCACTTGGGAAGAGTGGAAGTTGCTGGATCCTTCGCAAAGGAGTCTCTACAAAGAGGTGATGCTGGAGACCCACAGGTATTACCTCGCTATCATAGGTGAGATTGAATTTTCCTTCAGGGTTTCAAATAAGGGAACATCGGTCCTTATTTTTTGACAATCTTTTACAATCTGATTGAGAAAGAAGAGTGAGGCAAGTAAATCAGGCAAGCTTCTAAGTTTTACTGAAGATAGCAACTTAAATTTTGTACAACTTTCAATTATATACCATATATGTTCTGGTGCTATTTTTTTTTTTTTAGGATACAGTTGGGAAGACCATAATATTGAAGAACATTGTCAAAGTTCCAGAATTCATGGAAGGTAATTATCATGTGCAAGCGGATACAAATGTGCCTCTGAAGAAATTGTAATGCACTCTAGATGTTTTAAACAAAGGCAAGAGTGTAAAGAAGCACAGCTTCATGCGCACTGATGATTATTAAATTATCACAAAACCATATTCCTCAGTTATAGATAGGTGAATTGCATTTACAAGACATTCTTAAGAAAGAAGACAAGCAAGCAATGCCTTAACAGATTTCACCCTTTGAATCATAGCTCCATGAGAGCTATGCTATAGAACTGCCGATCTATTTAGTTTCTTACCACTCATATTGAAAAATGTATATATATTGAAGGCGTGATAAGTACATTTCCAAAGCTTTCTAATAAGCAAACGGTGCATAGTAAAGCTAGTGTTAGCCATGTGCTTGCTATGACTGTACTAAATTTAGTTCGGGGCAGTTAGAGTCAAGAGTCAAGGGGCAGTCATTGCTGAGAAAACATAATGCCTATACTATATGTCTGTGAGGAATAGATAGTCAAACTATGCTATTCAATGTGTAAATCTTTTATTTGGTATTCTTGCTTTTCTTGGTAGCACTCTGTATACCACTCATGTGACTATAGGAATATGAACAGACATAGCATACCACATGTGAATGTCTGACTTTTTCCAGGTGTCTTCAAATATGTAAAAAATTACATACAGAAAAAAAGATTCTGTATAGTGATCTGATTAATAAAGGGTCTTACCATCATAGGTGTCTTCAAAATGTAAAACAAGCCCTAATAATGGGGAGCAACATGAACACAAAAACATTGATAAAACTGTAAGATCTGATTTCTTTTTACAATTTAACCAAATTATGAAATTAATTCATACACATATACAGATTCAACAGTGTATGAAATGTGGTGAACCTTAACCGTGTATGAAATGTGGTGAACCATTTTTTTTTACATGTGCCAATTATCCTTGCAGCTATGAAAGTACTCATACTGGAGAGACAACCTGTGAATGCAATCACTGTGGTAAAGCCTTTACACGATGCAAAAGTCTTCACATACATAAAAAAAATCATACTGGAGAGAAACCCTATGAATGTAATCTATGTGGTAAAGCCTTTGCATACCAGAGTCATCTCCGAAGCCATAAAAGAATACATACTGGAGAGAAACCCTATGAATGTGATCATTGTGGTAAAGCCTTTGCACAACACAGTCATCTTCAAAGACATAAAAGAACACATACTGGAGAGAAACCCTATGAATGTAATCTTTGTGGTAAAGCCTTTATACAACATAGTCATCTTCAAAGACATAAAAGAACACATACTGGAGAGAAACCTTATGAATGTAATCAATGTGGTAAAGCCTTTGCACAATGCAGTAATCTTCAAATACATGAAAGAATACATACTGGAGAGAAACCCTATGAATGCAATCAATATGGTAAAGCCTTTACACAACGCAGTAGTATCCAAATACATAAAAAAACAAATACTGGAGAAAAACCTTATAAATGTAATCAATTTGGTAAAGTCTTTGCACACCATGCTAGTGTTCAAATACATTTTAATGGAACACATACAAGAGAAAAACAATATGAAAGTAATCAAAGTGGTAAAGCCTTAGCATGTCACAAAAATCTTCAAATGCATAAAAGAATACACATGGGTAAGAAGCCCTATAAATGTAATCAATGTGGTAAAGACTTTGCATATCACAAAAATCTTCAAATACATGAAAGAGTACACACAGGTGAGAAGCCCTATAAATGCAGTCAATGTGGTAAAGCCTTTACACAAGGCAGTAGTCTTCTAAAACACCGAAGAACACACACTGGTGAGAAACCCTATGAATGTAATCAATGTGGTAAAGCCTTTACACAATGCATTGGTCTTAAAAAACATCAAAGAATACACACTGGTGAGAAACCCTATGAGTGTAATCAATGTGGCAAAACTTTTACACAATGCTGTAATCTACAAAAACATATACGATCACATACTGGAGAGAAACCTTATAAATGTAATCAATGTGGTAAAGCCTTTACACAATGCTATAATCTTAAAAAACATGTAAGAACACATACTGAAAGCCAGGCGGTGGTGGTACATGCCTTTAATCCCAGCACTCAGGAGGCAGAGGCGGGTGGACCTTTGTCAGTTTGAGGCCAGCCTGATCTATAAGACCTAGTTCCAGGACAGGATCCAAAGCTACAGAGAAACCTTGTCTCAAAACAAAACAAAACAAAAAAACACATACTGGAGAGAAACCTTATGAATGTAATCATTGTGGTAAATCCTTTGAACATAGCAGTCATCTTCAAATATAAAAAAGAACACATACTGTGGGAAAACCCTATGAATGTAATCAGTGTGGCAAACCATTTACATTTATCAATCAGTAGCCCCAACGCTACAGAAAAACTTTGGGTGACTGTCCAGGCAGAAAGATGTCTCTGTCAATTCTAGAATTTTGGAAGTTGCTTACAATGTACTTCCTGTTTACTTAGGTAATATTGTATCCTTCTGGAATCTTTGATGAAGTTGAAGAATAAATTGTAATAATATAGCTTTCCTTAGTTATGATAAAAGATAAAGTAGATATAAATATTGTAACTGTAATCCTTGCTTAATACCTGTTTGTTGTATGTAATGTTACTATGTTAAAGTTAAAGCCTTCCTTTTTGTTTAAACAGAAAAGAGGATATGGTGTAGGAGGTCCTTCTGTTTGTGTATTGCTTTCATTGGTTAATGAATAAAGAAACTGCTTTGACCTAGTTGATAGGGTGGAACTTAGGTGGGTGGAGAAAACAGAACTGAATGCTGGGAGGAAAAAGGGCAGAGTCAGAGAAGCCATGGATCCTCTGCCTGAGTTGGATACCAGTTTGAATCTGCAGTAAGCCACTGCCACATGACGATACATAGATTAATAGAAATGCACCAGCTGACTTGTAAACACTGATAGTGGAAAGCATAAAAGCTCCACCCCTAAGCGAAAAGTTGCCCAGTATGCGTGTTTCATGGAAGAAGTATTCATTTTTCTTCAGGGATGAAATCTGTGATAGATTATCCAAGCCCAATATCCAGACATAAATACAAATGCACACAGAATGTGGGGTGGGGTGGGAGGGAAAGAGACAAAGACAAAGAGAAATTACCAATATTAAATGGAATTAGTAGCTTTTACATATACACATACGTGTATGGCAGTAATAAAGAAGGGGTCATGAATTTGAGAGCAAGTGGGGAAACAGGAATTGAGGAAGTGATGGGGTAGAAATTATGTAAATACAGTACTCATGTAGGAATTTACAAACAATTTAAATTAAAAACATTTTTGAAACTGTGTATTGGATTTTCTAAATGCTTAGTCGACTTTCAACTTATAAATGGACAGAATCCATTTTAAGGTAAACAATCTAAGTTTCTCTGATGTCTTACTCATTTTGAGTCCATTGCTTTGGTGACCTATTTGGAGCAGGATCCTGAAATTGTTACCTTGGGTCCTTCCTCCACACAGAATCTAGCAGAGCTTTTTCTGATCCTCAGGAAACATCCATGCCATCACAAGACTCTAGGTATTGTGTGTTTAAACAACTTCTGCTGTTGCTAATGCTTGCCCCACAGAATATTTGCCAAGCAGAATTTCAGAAAACATTTTGCAAATGCTGGACAATTCCACAATTTTGTCATAATTCTCGTTTTTAATTTTTATTTATTCTCTCATGCAATATATGCCAACCACAGCTTCCTTTCCCTCTATACCTTCCAGGCCCTCCCTTTTGTCTTCTCCAGATTCACACCCACCTCTACCACCACTGCCCTGACCCCCCCCCCCCCGTTTGCCCCCAGAAAAGACATCAACCAAATACAGCACAAGAAGATACAATAAGACCAGGCATAAAACTTAACCTTGAGTGTGGTCAAGGCAGCCCAATGGAAACAAAAGGGTCCCAAGAGCAAGCAATACAGTCAGAGACAGTCCCACTGTCAGGAGTCACCTGAAAACATTAAGCCAACAACTATAAAATATGTGCCGCAGACCTAACACAGACACATGCAGACTCTGTGATTGCCATTTTAGTTGAGTCTCCATGTGCCCTGCTTAGGTGATTCATTGGGTCCTGCTCTCCCTGTGTTCTCAACCATTCTGTCTCCCACAAGTCCTCCTCCTCTTCTGTAGGGTACCCAAAGCTGCAAGGGGAAGGACCCAGTAGAGACCTCCAACTTGGGCTCTCTCTATCTCTGCCTAAGGTTTGGTTGTGGGTCTCTGCATCCTCTCCCACCAGCTGCCAAGGCAGCCTCTCTGATGAGGCTGGGCTAGGCACCCATCTATTACTACAGCAGAATTAATCATTTCAGTGATTTTTTTTTTTTTTTTGTGGGAAGCAAATGGGGCAGTAGTGTTTGGGCTATGCAGCCTCCAGTTTCTGGTCATCCAGGCAGTGTCAGGCATGGGCTCCCTCTCATGGCCTGCCTCTCAAATTTTACCTGTCATTGGTTGACCACTCCCACAAAGCTCTGGGCTGCCATTGCTCTAATAAGTCTTACAGGCAGGACAGGTTGTAAGTCAAAGATTTTGTGGCTGGGCTGGTGTAATTCTTAATCAAATGTTTCTGTTGGGAAATGGTACATCTGTCACGTGCCTTTTGAAACACAAGAGAACTTCTGACATAGTGAAGAATATTTAACTCATCCATGTAAAAGGATTGAAAAACCTTTGCTATTGTATGTTTGTTCGGGTCTCTTGCGATACTCTTGGGAAAATATCATGATAAATGTTGTGACAGGAACCAATGGCTCATGGGACAAGTGTTTTCCATGAGTTTTGGAGAGGATTAGAAGTCTTGTGACAACTGTAAGCAGGGTTGGAGAATTGCAATGCTGAGAAACATGAAAATGAACTGTGAACTGAGAAGGAAAGGATGGCTGCTCTATAGTCTATGGTAAATGTTATGTTCATGGGGCTAGCTATGTAGTATTTAAATTCAGTTAATATAGTATTGTGAATCATTCATTGATATCATTATTGGATGGTTGTACACCTCTGCTGCTAGCACTCCAAGAAAGGAGACTCCTCATGACAAAACATTTAATAAATCATGGTGCAGACATGATTGTGTCCCATTCCCTTAAGTTCTCCTTGCCCCTCCCCTTCTCTCGTCCTCTTCCCCTTCTGCCCTCCCAACTCCCCCCTACCCCATGCTCCCAATTTTTTCAGGCAATCTTGTCTATTTTCCCTTTCCAGGTAGATCTATGTATGTTTTTTTAGGGTCCACCTTGTTACTTAGCTTCTCTAGGATCATGAACTATAGCCTCAATATCCTTTGCTTTAGAGCTAGTATCCACATATGAGTGAATACATACCATATTCATCTTTCTGGGTCTGGGTTACCTCACTCAATATATTTTTTCCAGTTCCTTTCATTTCCATGCAAATTTCAAGATGTCATTGTTTTTTTTTTACCACTGAGTAGTACTCCGGAGAGTAAATGTGTCACTTTTTTTAAAAAAAAATTGTTTTTAGGTTGAGGGGCATATAGTTGTTTTCAGGTTCTGGATATTACACGAACTCTCAGCTTTCCCTTCTC